AGTAGTTAATAAAACCATGAATGCAAGTTGTTAAAGTGTTTACTGCTTCTATAACGAAGCTGTGTGCACCTACAAACCATTACACTGGATCATGTCCTGTTTATCATTAGGTGCGTCTCAATTGAGCACGCAAGTAATAATTGACCTTTGGAATCGTAAAGAATGACCTTATTTAGTATTGCAGTTCAACATCTTAGTTAATTTAATGTCCAAGGGGATATTGACAATTTTTAATGAAGTTATTTAAAATCAGTTTACGAACGTATTTAAATCGTTCAAGGATAGTGGCGGCTCCCTTTGTTCTCTCGAAGAAGTATAAAAGAAGAGGATAATTCATGCTGGTCTGATTGATACACCTTGCTACCCTGTAGCATTTTGCTCATAATTTGCATCTACAGCCCTTCACCTCTAAAAGCTGGGGAAAGGCGTTATTTAAAATGAATGATCACCTCCTCAGACGTTTCTGAGATGTTTTTTAAGGCCTTAGCATCACAGCATTCAAACGCGTTTCTAGCCGATTAACTAAAATAAAACAGAGGCTAGCAATTTGTTCATATCTAAAAAAATCATCTTACGCAGAATGCGTTCGTACGTACATAAAATTGAATAGATTTGTCTACGAATAAAAAATTATACCGTGAGTTTCTACGAGAACGTCATTAATAGTCGGTTAGGTAACATGGTCGCTTACGGTAGTCAATAAAATTCAGGGGATACTTGGAAGGAAGCCCTTTTCGGCGGTGACTACAAGGGTCATATTTATGTTAAAACGTTACCTGCTGTGCCCAATCTTATTTTAAATACAATCCTCAAACCGGAAACTATGTAATAATACCGTCCATTTCAAACTACGGTTTCCACTTTTAATCATAAAAAAAATCCGAATATTGAAAACTCAGCAATTTTATTTGTTCGATTATATGTGTCTACTCTTTCATACACAAATATTGAATGTAAAACTACTTTTTTATCAACAAAATTTAAATCTTAGTATATCAGGTTTAAACAGGCGACCGTGCTATGAATGATATGAATGATGTAGGCGCTATATTGCGAAGATCATCTTACTTAATTTGCAACAGGTCTCCTCTCATGTGGGTTTCTTGGGCGTCCAGGAAATGGGGATCTGGACCCTAAAAAAAGAATATGGTTGTGAGTTTCGTGCAAATAGACCTTTGTTAAACTTTTCTAAATAATTTCACGTAGTGACGTATTTACAATATACAGAGCTGCGTGAAAGCGGTAAAATAATAATATATTGCGTCTAAATATTCACCCAGAAATTGCGTCCGAGGCAATTCCCCCAAACTCGCGTATTCTTGTTGCTTGTTTCTTTAAATTTCGTATTGTCCTGCGTGATTATCCAACAGCGGTCAGATAGTGCATCGGATAATTGAAACAAACCCAATGAAAACAAACACGTTTCATCTACCGATTGTTTAGTAGGCGCGAGTGTGTGAACAGCAAAATTTTATTTCGGTTAAGCTTCGTCATGTATGCATGCATGAACATCGTTTTCTAGTTGAAGTTGTACATGGAAATAAAGTAATATTTTTTCTGTCTGTATACAATTGTCTTGGTTGTGTTTGCGCAGTGCAATCAAATAAACACTATTTGATAAGGTTACAAAAATATCAGTGCCATAAAGTATCAAAACACTCTAGACCTGTCATTATTACGAGGGGTGTTTGCTTTCAAAATAATGTAGCGCGACTCGCGTAAATGACGTGGAAAGCAGTGCATAATCACATACATACAAGTTAAAGCCCATACAAAAACAACAACAACAAAAATATCGGTAAACGTTACAGCCCTCTCTTGTACACCGACTTAAGCTGAAACTATAAAATGTTTACATAAATTAGAACGCTGTCTTGCATCGCAAGCTGATGCGACTACAGTAGCAACTCTTTTTATACTTCTAGACAGCAAATAACTGGTTATATTGTTCTGAGAACGCAGCAGTTGATATTGCAGTGAGTCACCGCACCCACCGTGGCAGCGTTGCCTACATTTGGCCATGGTACGATAGCCACCACCGTCAGGACCGCAGCCTCCGTAAATGTACGGCAGGCAGCGACCCCCCACGCATTTGTAGCGCCGGAACATGGCCTTGCAAGGCCCGGGCCCTGGCATTCCTGGCCAACGACGTCCTGCAAGGCACCCGGTGATAAATACGCAATTACGGACAGTGCATTAGAGCCGTTTTAAGGTTAAGCTTTGCTCCGGATCCCTTCACGGTTTTTTATTACCCGCCTTGATCTGAACGCTTAACGTTCCAAATTCGTCCCGTAACTTGAGGTCACATGACCTGGTCACGTGACGTGAAATTATGGTGTCACGTGACCCGACATCACGTGACTTCAGGTCACGAGACGTTAATTATCCTGATAAATTTAGCAAGGTAATAATTATGATGCCACGTGACCTGATGTCATCACGTCTTGTGACGTCAAAGGGTCTCGCCACGCTATAGTGTCGCGTGTCCGACGTCACAACAGCCAGGTGATTTTTCTTTCAATCACTGGTCTTACAGAAACACGATAGTAACTTGATGTTCACTCCCTTGGTTGTAACATCTCCGTTCTTGTGAGCCGGCGTCGTTAGTACTGTTCATGCGCTCAGGGCTTGACAGCTGATCGTAGTCACGGTGACGACCCTTATGCTGAACGCTCAAGGGTAAGGCTAAACACTGCGCTTCACTTAGCGGGTACGGGACACCAGGCTCAGTAGCTTTTCTTACTTTAGCAGTACGTGGTGCTTAACTAAAACCGCGTCAGTATGCTTAAATATTTCCTTCTGGAATAAATTGTACGCTCCAGGTGATGCCAAGGAATCTACATCGAACTTAATTTGATTAGCAGATGAATTGGGACGTTCAGTAGATGGGAGGAGTAGATAACCTGCAGAAATGAATACTCAATTACATACCACAGAAGGGCCAATAACTAAAAACGGAAATACCTATAATGCCAGAAAAGTGTATCAAAATAAGATAACTCACAATTTACACCTATAATGAAAGCGAGTTATTGTTGAAACAGACTTTGCTTCCAGTCTTGCCGCACCATGCCATGAACACTGCAGTTGGTGTTACAGAACACGGTTTCGAAGAGCCTAATTTTATTTTTGGAAAATAAAATTATTATTTCTAAAGAATGTCCTAGAAGCCTAGAGGGTTTAACATTGTTCGAAGTGTTACGAATCAAATGTGAGCTCTGATCTGAATTATGTCTATTTAAGGAGTATAGTGAACTGCCGACTATTCTTTATCAATACAGAATTCATATCCACATGACAAAAAAAGAATCATTTCAAAAATGCCTGCAGCTTAGCGTGAATATTAAAATTACTGAGCCCGTCAAGCGTAGTCTCGTATTAGAATAACTTTTAACTTTTTATAATTAACAGTTCTGAGAAACAAGTAACAATATTACTTGATTTATGCACACACTTTATATCAGCACTGGCTAAAGACAATGTCAAAACAATGAACTACAAAACCTTGAACACGGGAAAATGTAGCTTCACGAGATATTTTCTAGATTGGGAAGTTTACCTTCAGAAGCCACAACAAGAATCATTACTATAAGTGCTAACACGAGAACCTTCATTTTGGCTCGAGTTAAGCGAACACTGGGAGCTGTTCGCCAATTATGGCTGGATGGATCCGTGTGTTGTCTATTTATTCAAGCGTGTTACCACGGATGGAAAAGGGTTATCTCAAGATTCAAAGTAATTTGCTGACGTCAAGTGCTCGTGCACTTCTATTCGAAGGAGATAAAAAGACAATTGTGTCGACGTAGAGATACATTATCTTTGCAGTTCAATATACGCAGCCGAGCAGATAACACACGTGTGGGAAATACGCATTTGATATATAAGGCAGAAACAATATTTAATTATTGTGCTCTACGTTTTTGTTTTACAAGAAAAATGTATAGAAAAACTATCACTACAATAACCTCTGTGATCTGGTACACGCTAAGCCAAAACCGATCTCAGAAAATGCATTCCTAAGCAGTAACAAGAAAGCGGAGAAAAAAAAATTATACGTAGAAGGGTTTTTAATTGCAAAAATGTAAGGTCTCAGAAGGCGCGATGTCTTGTAAGACATTATATTTTAGGAATAGAAAAAAAATGTAAGTGAGCCAAAATTTTGTAAATCGTACACCTCGCTAAACGTGAACAGAAATGAACGAAACGTAAAATTAAGCGCACCAACATGTACAGTCGCCGACCAATTTTTCAGACTCGGAGTGGACCCCAAATTTTTCCCAATAATCAAGCGGTCCAAACAACCGATTTCAGCCAAAATATAAATTTCCGCGCATATTCCGCTGCGCATTGGCGCCATTCAAATTGCACCATATGAATTTTAAATCCTCGTGCATCGTCCGCTTTATATTGTGCCCTTTTCAAATTTTTGTTGATCTGTTTGATCAAAGTGCTGCGCTTTTTCGGCGCCCTCGTTGGCAGAAACAGCGAAGTTGATGTTAGTGCCATGTAACACTATTATGAGTCAACGTTTAGTCCACTGAACTGGCTTCAATACTGAGCCTATCGAAAAAAAAAAAAAAACCTTCTTGCTCAAAGACCAATACAACGGCAGACGGCGGCCATGTTGGCTACAGCGGAACCGGAAAACCAGACAATAGCCTACAGCCGGCTTGTTTATTACGTAGGGCGTGGTATCCAGGCTACAGGGCAAAATTAAAACCAAAAATGGCGGCGACTAAGCTCGCGGCGCTATTGCGGCGGCTGTTTTGTGGCTGTAAACTGAGGAAATCAGGCAAATTATGTCCGAAATATCAGGCAATAAGCTTTATGGAGTCCGAGATTTCGATCAATGTTATACAGTAATCTATGGGGTGAGTGGCGGTTCGGCGAAAACGTTCGAATAATCGGACGTGTCTGAATAATGGGCGTCTGAAAAATCGGTCGTCCGCTGTACATCGCCTCTAAGCAGCCCTCAATATTTGGCTTCACTTCATATAAAATATTTTTTCAAATTCTGAAATAAATTTTATTTCTAAAATAGGTTTTGGCAAATAGTGTATTTCTAAGTACTATTTCCAGTGCGAAGGATTGGGGTACAGGTGGCAACCGTGCAGGTCCTCAGAGGTCGTTGCATGATCAGATCAAACGAACTTTAATCTCATGGGCAAGTTGCTAGAGATCAATCAATATACTATTCAATTATAGTTTATTTGTATGCATTAATCACCGTCGTCGTCACAGATCGCCGCCTTGTTTTGGAGTGAATGGCGCGATATTTATTCAGCGTCTTGGTATCTGCAAAGAAATAATGTGAGTAGTTAATGAAACCATGAATGCAGGTTGTTAAACTGTTTCTGGGTCCTTTAACAAAACTGAGCAGACCCACAGACCGTTACACTCGTTCATATCCTGTTTACCATTTGGAGCCTGTGAATTGAGCACAGTAGTAACAATTTAGCGTCAGATTTATTTTATGGAATTTATGACCGCATGGAATTATAAAGAATGACCTCATTTAGTATGGCAGTTCAACATCTTAGTTAATTTAAAGTTCGACGCGATATTGAATCTCTTTCGATGTTATTCAAAATCAGTTTGCGAAGGTGTTCAATCGTTAAAGGATAGTGGCAGCTCCCTTTGTTTTTCGAACAAGTATAAAAAATAGGATAATTCATGCCGGTCCCAATTATATAACATACCTTGCTACCCCAAAACCTTTTGTTCATAATCTCAAAATGAGACGTCTATGAGAATATTTTGGATGGCGTTGGCAGAATAACATTCATGCGCCTGTCTAGACGATTAGCTAGAGTAAAACATACGCAATCCATTTGTTCATATCTGACAGAGTCACCTTATGTAGAATACGTTTGTGTGTTGATAAATTAGAGTAGAATTGTCAATGTACCACGAATCATACCGCGACGTTCTATAAGAACGGCATTGGAGTTTGTTACGTCATAAGATCGCTTACTATAGCCAATGGGATCGAGGTGACAGCTGAGCGTCAGATTAATGTGAGAAACGTTCATCTGCTACGACCAATCTTCTCTTAATTACAATACGCAAGCACGAAACTATATATTAACACCGCCCATTTCGAACAACGTTTCAACTTCTATTCTTAAATACCTTTTAATTTTATTTGAGAATTTGATATTGGGAATTTCAGAACTCTAAGAATTTTATTTTATTATGTCAGCTTCGAGTAGGCGACCTTGCTATAAATAATATGGATGATGTCAGCGCTATATCTTGAAGATCATCTTACCTAATTTACCACAAGTGTCCTCTCACGTCTCCTCTCAGTTGGTGGTCTAGGAATAGGGAATCTGAGCCCTAAAGAATAAATGAGGTTGTGAGTTTCGTGTAAATACACCATTTTTAATTATCTTTCATAATTTCACGTAGTGACATATTCTCGATATATGACGTCGCGCGTAGGCGGCAAAATAATAAAATATTGCGACTAAATCTCGTTCCAGAAATTAAACCCGAGCGAAGTCCACCAAACTTGCTTATTCTTTTTGCTTGCATGTTCTCATTTCGAACTGTCTCGCGTGACTCTCTAACGGCGGTCTAAAGACATGGTACACCGAATAATTGAGACAAACCCACAAAAAACAAATACTTTTCATTTAACGATTATTTAGTAGGCGCAAGTGTGTGAACAACAACATGCTATTTTAGTTAAGCTTCATCACGAATCAGTGTTCAGCACCATAAAGCTGATTTCTGCTCACTTCATGCTATAACTAACACTTTCTCGTGCCCGATTACGCCCGACGCTGCTTAGAAAACGCGAGTGCATGACAATTTTTTTCCTGTTGAAACAATATATTTAAATACAGTAATATTTTTTTTTGTCTGTATACACAAAGTGGCGTCCCTAGGGCCAGCGGCAGCTGAAGCGGTGGGCCGCTGCGTAGCCCCTGTAACCGCCCTCTCATTGCCCGGCCCGCCGCGACCGGGTGGTTATCATTTGAGCCCGTTCTCGTTTCGCCCTTCTCACTTCGCCCTTCTCAAAACAACCATTCTCAAAAAGACCTTCTCTCTTGAACCTGTCGCATTTGGCCCTTTCCCGTTTCGTCCTTCGCATTTCGACCCTCCTCATTTGAGTCCGTTCTCGGTTCGCCCTTCTTACTTGGCCCTTCTCAAAACAACCGTTCTCAAAAATATCTCGCTTTGACCCGTCGCGCTTGACTCTTTTCATACCAAAATCGTTTTTAGGGTAATATTAATAAATACATTGTAATATTTTGTGTGTGTGTGTGTGTGTGTGTGTGTGTGTGTGTGTGTGTGTGTGTGTGTGTGTGTGTGCCACGCAACAGGCATACTTTCTCTGCTAAGGATTTTAGCCGTGCGTCGAGTTCGTCGTGAAAAGCTAATAGCTGACAATGAAACAGACCAACTATTTATCGCAGCCAGATCATATTCCGAAATGTCACGTTGTTTGAGGTTTCTCGACTTGGGACAATGCCACCACTTCTATAATGTAATGGTTCTCAAATGGGGGTCTGCGAAGGCATCCTAGAAGTCCGCGAAGCCCTGTCTCAACAGTCAAGCACGCCAATATTAGTTGTCCTCACGTTGAGAAGAAACGTTCCAATTTTCCGGTGAGTACTGTCGTGTGTATGTCAATGAGATAAGCTTACTTCACACTAGCAATTAGTTATATTCATTTAATAAATCATTATCATGATAACCTATACCTTTCTATGTCCCTCACCCCGAACGGGGTCCTCCATCATCTCCGCCTTTCTACAAGGGGTCCGCGAAACATCAATGTTCAAAGTTTCCAAATTAAATGCTCATCGCTTTTTTTTTTCTCGTTTGCTTGAAGGGAAGCAAGCGTCATTGTACGATTCTCAGTGCGTACCTCTACACATAACATATATCTGATGGTATGTTGGGTGTCCAAGCAAGGTAAGGCTCATCAACAAAGCCGCGAAGGCATAACGACGTTAGAAGCATGCCGAACTAGTGCTATTCAGTCGTAGCGCGAACGGGCGAAATGAGAATGGGTCCAGTAGCGAAGAATACAATTTGGATCTTATGAGGAGGTTCGAACAAGGCGGACCAAATGAGAATGGGAGGAAATGCGCACGGTCAAAATCCGAATGGGACGTTTTCAGATAACGGGAAAACTGAGAATGGGCCCAGTTGCGAAAAACACGATTCGGACCTTATGAGAAGGTTCAAACGAGAAGGACCAAATGAGAATGGGACGAAATGTGCAAGGTTCAAATGCGAATGGGACGTTTTGAGATACACCCGCCGCGACTCCCTCCCCCTCCTCCCCGCCCTCTCCCCCCTTTCACTCCCCAGCTGCACCCCCCTGTGCGCTGTACCCAGGGAGGTTCCCCCCCCCCCCCCCCGCCTTGGTGACCCCAATTTGTAGACGATTGTCCGGGTCCTGTTTAGGCAGTGAAATCGCCTACTTATTATTCGACAATGTTGCATAAATACCAGCGCCGTGACGTGTGAAAACACCCTAGAGTTTGCTTTTAAAACACTGCAATGTGACTGGCGTAAACGACGTGGAAAGTGGTGCATAATCTCATATATATTATCTAACGCCCATACAAAAAGAAGATAAACGTCACTGCCCTCTCTCCTACACCGAGTTAAGACGAAAACATAAAATGCTTTCATTAATTAGAACGCGTTCTTGCATGGAAAGCTAAGTCGACTGCATTAAGAACGCCTGTTATGCTTCGAGACACCAAGTAACTGGATCCATTGTTTTCATAACGTAGCGAGCCGTACCCACCTTTGCAGCGTCGTTTACATTCGGCCATGGAACGGTAGCCCCCACCGTCACGTCCGCAGCCTCCGTAAATATACTCCAGGCAGCGACCCTCTACGCATTTGTAGCGCGGAAACGCAGCCTTGCAAGGCCCGGGACCTGGCATTCCTGGCCAACGACGTCCTGTAAGGCACCCGGCAATAAATAGACACAATTACAGAGACTGCATTAAAGCCGTTTTAAGGCTGTAGCTTTGTTCGGGAACCCTACACGGGCATTTCTTGCCCGCCTTGGTCTGATCGCCTAATGATACAAATTCGTCACATAATTTGAGGTTGCACGACCTGGTCACGCGACTTGAAATCAGGGTGTCACGTGACCTGACATGACGTGACTTTACATGACGTCACGTCAATTTTTCCGTTGAATTTAGAGAGGAAATCATTATTATGTCACGTGACCTGATGTTATTGAGTCATGTGACGCAAAGCATCTCGCGAAGCCATAGTGTGGCGTGTCTGATATCACAATTTGAACTTTAAATTTAGCCAGGCGATCATTTGCTTTCAATCACTGGTCCCACAGGAACACGAGAGGAAGTTTAGGTTGACTCTCTTGGTTGTAACCTCTCGGTTCTTGTGAACCGGCGTCGTTCGTACTGCTCATGCGCTCGGCGCACGACAGTTAAGCGCAGTCATGGTGACGACCCAGATCTTCAGCGCTCAAGAATAAGTCTAAACCGTTGCGCTTAATTTAGCGGTAACGGGTCACTACGCTCAATAGCTTCTTTAACTCTACCAATACGTGGTTTTTAACTAAAACCATGTCAGCAGGCTTCAATGATGTTTATGAAATGAATTGTACGCTCAAAGCGGTGCTAAGGAAAATACATCGAAATTAATTTGATTCGCCGATGAAGCGGGATGTTAAGTTGGGGCGAGGAGGTGGTAGCCTGAAAAAATAAAATCAATTATATACCAGAAAAGGATCAATAACTAAAACTCGAGATACCCATAGTGCCCCACATGTAGAGTAAAAATGAGATTACTCAAAATTAACCGCAATACTAAAAGCTCATTATTTTTTAAACAAAATTGGCTCCCTGTCTTGCCGCACGTACCACTCAACAAACACTGCAGGTAAGGTTACAGAACAAGGTATCCAAGAACCTAATTTTCTTTTCAGGAAATAAAGTTTGTATTTTTAAAGCATGTTCTAGAGGCGTAGAGCGTTTAAGATTAGGCAAAAAGTTACCAATCAAATATAAACCCGAATTTTAATGTCTAGTTAAGGATCAGTGAAATAGAAAGTATTCTATAACAATCCAAAATTGAAATCCCCATGATCAAAAAAGAAACATTTAGAAAAAAATGCCTCAAGCTTAGCGTGAATATTACAAGCTACTAAGCCCATAAACCGTAGTCTCATATTAGCTACACTTGTAACTACCAGTTCTGAAAGACGAGAAACAAAATTGATTGATTAATGCAAACAGTTTATATCAGCACTACGTAAAGAGAATGCCAAACAAATAAACTACGAAACCTTGAACACGCGAACATATTGCTTCACGAGATATTTTCTAGGTTGGAAGGCTTACCTTCAGAAGCCGCTACAAGAATCATTACTACAACTGTGAACACGAGAACCTTCATTTTGGCTCGAGTTAACCGAACACCGGGAGTGCGTCGCCAATTATGGCTGGATGGATCCGTGCGACGTCTATTTATTGAAGCATGTTGATGCGGACGGCAAAAGGTTATCTCAAGATTCGGATTAATGAACTGACGTCAGGTGCTCATGTATTTCTTGTCGAAAGAGATAAAAAGACAATCGCGTCTACCTAGCCCTATATCATCTTCTCAGTTCAATATGCGCGATCGAGCAGATAATACACGCGCCTGGGAAATACCGATGATAGACCTTTCGATCGCTTATCACCCGGGCAAAAAAATGCTGAGTCAGTGAGATGTGAACGGATGCGCAGCGTCTGATGTACCGCACAGAAGAGCAGCCGCGCATGCTCAGAAGGCGTTCCTTAGCCCAGCAGACGATGATGTCAGCGCGCGGAAAATTATTTTTGCAAAGGCCTATATATACGGTGCAATAACACTACGCAAGTTTTGTGCTACACGTTTTCGTTGTACGAGATAAATGTATAGTAAAACTATCATTACAATGGCCCCAGTGACGTGGTTTACCCTCAGCCAGAACTGTTTTTAGAAAATTCCCTCCTTAACATTAAAAAAATGTTCAACAAAAAAAAAATCGTGAAGAGAAGTGTTTTTTTTTTTTTTTTTAAGCTTTAAATAATACTTCACAAGACAATGTATATCTTCTGAGACATCATATTTTGGAAACTGAAAATAAAATTAATTGAGCAGATAAGAGGGTAACTGGCACACTTAGCTAAACCTGAAGAGAAAAGAGCAACAAAAACAAACAACAAATAAAAGAAAACAATGGAAACAATCGTAAAATCGTAAAATGCCGCCTGTAAGCAGCCCTTAATATTCTTGCTTCACTTCATAAAAAAACTTTTGGAATTCTGAAATAAATTTTATCTCCTAAATAGTTTTTGGTGATCACTGTATTCATAAGTATTATATGTTCATTTCGAAGCATTGCGGTACAGATACGTGACATCCGTAAAGGGCCCTCGGAGGTCGTCTCGTGATCAGACCAAACGATCATTAATCTCATAAGATATTATCTCAGTGTTTCGTTATTAGCCTAAACTTTAACTGTTATTTTCATAAAGACCCCAAGGCATTATATTTTGGGCAGCCGCTAGCAGTAGCACCAATGCGTAAAAACCAACCGATCTCGTGAATGACACTGAAGCACTTAGAAACGAAATGAGCACACAACTTGAAAGTTGAAAAGAAAAACCCATAAGAACAGCTGCTTAGCTAAACTAATGCTTACCCAACAAGTTAGCTCCTTCAAATTCATATTAAAACAAAATATATAAAATAAGATTTAAGGAGAGTTTGAAGCTATGAATGACCACACCTTGCGAAACGTACGCAGTTCACTGGCTGATAAACCCAGAGATGTACGTCTTGGTCGAGAGACTAACCCAAATAGATCTCATGAATATTATATCATGGTGGAATATACCTTCGCTGATTTATTTATTTAGAAATATTTATCACTATCACTTGCATTACTCTGTGGCTCAGAAATTCAATTGCGAGTAACAAATTAAGGAAGCATGAAGATCTCGCGGACCGTGGCTACGTTGCAAAGTTTATATACCAAAAGAACCTACAAGTGGCACGTACGGAGCACTTCTTACGTTTGCGTCCCAACTAAGCCCTCGCTCGGCAAGGACAACTGCTAAAGACAAACCTACGAGCTCGGGCTTCTAACCTTCGGATAATACCATCATTAAAATAGTATTTCCTCAAAACTGCTCATGTAAAAACTTATAAAGAAATCTGCAGTTTTTTTCCTATTTTTATTTTTGCGTTGGACAAAATGCTGGCGGTTATCGGAGTATTCTTAGAAAGAAACAAGCCCTGGCCATGGTATTTTCCATTACTAAAACATCCGTGTGATTCGAGTACCTGGAGAGCGCCCAAGCAGAGGTTAGAAAAGAGAACGAGATAAGGAGCCTATTTCCAGGAAAAAATAAACAACTTGATGACAGAACAACGCAAAAACTGTGTCCCGTATCAACCAAAATGCAAATGTAGGTCAATCGTTCAATCCGAAAAGCTCAGATGTTTCTTATTTGGGGGAAGTTCCGAGTCGGCGTTTTTTCGGCTTCTCTTGAGTTTAAACAAACCTACTTGAAGGTTGTTTTTCACATATTATCAGTATGCACCATAAACATGAAACCTTAGTTATAATATAGCGGGAAATTTAGTGTCCTATAAGAATCAGTGGCTAATATTGCCGTGCGCTTGCTTAGCCGAGTTGGCAGCGCGCTTGGTTAACACGCAGATTGCTCGGGTTCCATTCCCTGCACTGCATGTGCTTTTACCTTTCTTTATATAAATGGAAGTTTCGAGAAGGTCCGAGAACCGTCTAGCTTGCTCATGTTCACGAAGAGAATTTATGCAGAATATACACAGTTTCACTGAAAGAGGACAATCGAGAATAGGGAGAGGGCTACTGTACCGGTTTCCTCGTCGCTGAACTGTGTGAAGCGAGGAAAGCCCTCAGAAGTGCGCCTTCCTCTCCATCCTTGCTTTCCCAAATCTAATTAAAGCTGCTGAATTCGATGACAATCCCAACCCGGTCATCAGGGCACCATTGCTCGGTTGTCGTTTGCGCGAACAACCAACGAAAGCGTAAAATAATTAACAGGGCAAGGCCTGTGTGGCTACAATGTCTTCAATTTGCATCGCTCCCCAGATGGGCCGGACCTTATACATGGCTTTGGGTGACGGCAGTGGGTTGCTCGAATAAACAGAAAAGACTTTAGCTTTTAGAGCGCAGCTCTTATAGGCGCCCGTTTCCGGGTTGAGCGGGAAACCTTTCCTGCTAAAACCACTAAATTTAGCGGGGAACCTTTCGCGCAAAATTTAGCGGGAAAATTCAGCCGCTACATTTAGCGGAAATATTTCCCCGCTAAATTTAGCGGGTAAAGTTTCCCCGCTAAATTTAGCAGGGAAACCTTCTTTCCTTGGCTTTGGATAAAGCCTTCCTGCCTTGGTGTGGGTTGGCAACGTCGCCCCGCAGCTTGCATTGAATTTAAATTTAACGTTAAGTTTGCCCATTATATGGGAGTACTCCTCCACGTCTGTGAAGTGTCTAGTGCTGAAGCAAGAAAAAGAGACGAAGCATACGCCGCGACTCTTCCCTCTCAAGGAAGTCGTCAGTTTAAATTTAGCGTTGCACAAGAGTCCTCAAACAAACCAACTCCAGATAAGGACAGTCGTTAAAGAAAGGCAGAATGCGGGAATAACACTTTTCCCCAAATTCCTAAATAATTAAAAAAAAAACTATTTTTTTATGAATTCAGATTAATCCGCTGCCGCTGCTGCGTGCGGTTTCGACTGTTGTGGACTACGGAGTTACCGGAGGGTGCCCGGCGAATTTCTTCAAGGGCAGGGACGGCGTTTGGCATGAGACGAGGAAAAAACGAAACCGGGCCCTGCGGTTTCCCACAGGTCCCCCCATCAGCGTCTCAACCTCGCTTACAATGTAGACGCGTCGTCCTCCTTCTCTGTGTTCTCACTACTTGGACGGAGACCTCAGTCGGAGAAATGTCCAAAATTGAACCCCGTAAATATCCAGTGAATTGTCGAGCTAAGCCGCCAGGCTTTTCTGTCGGACCGCCGTTACTGAACGGCGCGACGCGCAGCCCGTCCGTCGGCTTCTGAACGAACGACAACGTGGCTGGTTAAGAACTTGGTGACTTTGCATGCATGAAATTCATAACCAAAGTCACTAGAACGATTCCGAATATATTTAAAATTTGTGTGTGTGCGTTTTTTTTTTTGGCCCAATCCAACTTTGTCAGGTGAGAAAAGCGTAGATTGTGTTCTTTTTCCCTTGTTTTGTTTTGATTCGTCGAAATTGAAACGATTAACAATATTGATAGCGATTAAAGCATTAACAGATTAATCGAATAGGTGATTGATCAATAACCCAGCCCTACTTCTGAGATTTGAGATTTGTAACTGTTTTTATGCCCACTTCTTTCTTCATGTAATAAAGTTAGAGTATTCAAACATATTGCTGTTCTAGCCTTCTTTTTTTCTGGTCCTATAGACCGTTCCATTAGGGTCATAGCAGAGAGGGTAAAAAAGAAAAAAATGCGCTCCCCCTCTCACCCCGCATGCCGTCCGCTCCGCCGAGTGGGTTGTAGCCAGCGTCCGGCTGGCGTGCAAACTCTGTTTAAAATCGCGTCATTTTGGAACTTTCAAGCGCAGATACGCAGATTTGTGGTATGCCAGTTGTCGTGTTATACTATGCTAGATTAAAAGACTCACAGGGTCCAATTGCGCTGTTACCTGCGTGCAAATAAAAAAAAAATAGAGAAAACTGTGTCAGATTGGCCGGTCTCTTTGGCGAAAAGTAAATCCGGTTGCTGCACCTTTTTTTACTATACAAAGTTCGCACTGGTGTAGGCCTTTAGCGACCATGAGTGGAAGTCTGAAATAATAAATAAAACGTGCTCTCCTGCCCCAATACACGCAGTCGTTGAGGGTAGTACTGCCGGCTGACTCAACTGCTATTTAAGTAACGGGAAAAAGATATGCTAGTTGATCATTTAGCAAAATAGAACAACAGAGAGCTATAGGCTGATTTTGGAGTAGCCACAGCTATTCGAAGAACGCGAACCACTTCACAACGGCAGCCACGAGCGAGAGTTCGATGTTCGGTAAAGCCCGCCGATACAGCCCAAAGATGGAGAACGGCAACGTCCCGGTTTGTCGTCTGCTAGCGGAGTCGGGCGCGTGCCCTCTCTCTCGTTTTACCCCGCCGAACCCGCTGAACTTCCCGGATGTGTGGAGAGGGCGCTGCGGTCGAACAAAATGGTGCCGCCCAAAGAGCGCTAAATGGAATGGTCTATAGACTAAATTTTATGGTGAGTGATGTCCAAAACTATAATTTATTCTGAAAAGCATGAACGTGTTAATGAATTGAATTTTTCCTATTTTATCAATAATAAAAAAGAAGTGTGGCAGCTGAGACAATCTGGTTGTTCGGTGAGCGAGTGGTCAGATACTGAGC